GAGCTTTAGAGCTACAGCTTTATTAAAGTTAAGATTTCATATCAAAGTAAAGTTTCGAATCGCTAGAGTTATTATGATATGATAATAATATCATTATTCAAATAGGGTTTAGAGTTGGACACTTTTATTACCCTGCCGAACAGCCCTCGTGCAGACCATTTGGCAACCCTGGCCGCAGGCAAACAACAACAGTCAACGGGGGCCCCCGTTTTTACAAGCAAGTGAAGAAAATGTAGCAGCTAAATTCCAAGCAACGTTTTGTGGCCGATAGTCGCTGTTGCACTGTGCCTGTTGTTGTTGTTGTTGTTTTTGTTGGCTGTAGGTTTTTCAGAATTGCATTTTTATTGTCTGGCACTTTGTTGTTACCACTGTGTGTTCAGAGTTGTTGTTGTTGCATAAATAAACCATATGGTTAAAAGCGTAGCATATTCTACGACCAGCCTTCTGTTGTTGTTGTTGTTGTATTCTCCTCTCTTTTCTTAGCTGGCTGCCTGTCAACGTTGGTGTTGTTGTTGTTGTTGTCTTCGACTTGGTGGTTGTTGTTGTTGTTGTTATTGTTGTTTGGATGTGGCTATGAAGTTTCTGCTTTCTGCTTCAGTGCGTTTGTAAATGTTTATCAAAATGTCTTGTGCCGTTCTCTAAGTTCATACCCCCTGCTCCCATTCCATATCTCGTACCTCACTCCCTCTCTCTCTCTCTCTCTCTGTTTACCTGTGTGTATGCTGTTGCTGCTGTTACTCTTCTTATACCCTGTGTGCAAGAGAAGGTATAATAGTTTTCTGCACATGTTTGTAGCAGGCAGAGGGCGGCATCTCTGAATCCATAAAGTAAAGGTCATCTGAGCGATTGTTAAACTCAGAAATTGTTGGCTAGAGACTAGATATATTGAGCATAGGTCAAATATAGAGTTTATTATAAATGGATAACCGAATCGACAAATATCGAGGCTCTTGTATTGCATTAACACATTTGGAATATTTAACGTTCTGTTCTAGAAACACGCTTGGGTATCTCTTAGTCGGGCACTCCTCGCTCGAGCAGTCTTACCTGTTCTCTTTTTTTGTTACATTTGAAACGATGGTCGTCGCACGATCATTAACCGCAAAACATTGTTCTTGTGGCATGTTGGGCTGGTTCTATCCGCAACTCGGCAACATGTTGTCAGCCTCTGGCTCTGCCTCCCGCCCTCTCTGTGCAACCAGGCTGTTTGTTTGTTTGTTTGTTTGTCTGCTTAGCGAATTCTTGGAAGTCGGGGCGCAAAATATGTCGCACCACACATAATGCAGAAATTGAAATTGCAATGAACCCAAACCACAGTTGAGGAATTCTTTAAGAAATGCTCTCTATTTCGATATATCGAGTACTTGTATATCGATTTTGCTTGTATATTATCGATAATTGATCGATTCGTGCTCACAACTTATTCACTTAACATCGATGTAAAAGTCCAAGGCGAGCATGGAGTTAGATAAATATCGATTATCGATTAATCGAATGCAAATGTAGAAGTAGTAAAGCTAGACTCTCTTTTCAGCTATTGATAAACCCAAACAGATGCCAGATTCGATTTATATTATTACGTTATTCTAATTGATTTGCCTGCCCAACGGAATACCCTTAATACTTAGAACTATCTTGCTCACTTCTCACTTCATTTGACGCTGTAAATCATCGTGTTCTCGAGCTTCCGTCGTTCTTTTAGCTGGCGCCGCTGTCACCAAATCTCTTTCGCATGTCGCACAATTTTCACCAGACAGTCGGCAGACAAAAAAAAAAAAAAAAACATAAATGGAGGGGCGCAAGAAACAACCTCAACATCAATGAAAGCGACGCCACAAAAAACCACAAGGCTATACAAATACACACACCAAAAGCTACACACACACACACGCAAACACACATGTAGACAATTACACGCTCACAGCGAGAATCTCTCCAGTTTTAATCGATCGATTTTATGCGCTGTGTGACATGGCCGTAAATCACACGGCGCGCAACATTTGTTGGCTTTGTATCCATGAGATACTTGTGGCGCGGCGCATAGATACTTTTATTTGCTCTGATCTCTAAAAACAAATCGAATGCTGCAGCGCCCCAAACTAATTACTAAATTAAAAGCTCATTAAGGTGTGCTTTTTCCCCTTCTTCTTGTTTTTCAATCATTGAAAAATTTAAGCTGTGAAAATGCATTACAATTAATGAATTTACAATGTGGTTCAAATAATTCCAGCAACAACAAATTAATGTAAACAATTAAAATGTTTTCGTTTCGAATTTTTTATTAAGTCTTTCGAGCTGTTGCTGATGTGCCAGCCCAATTAATGAGTATTTGAATTTTAAAAATATTGTGAAAGCGCAGTCGTCTATTGATCTCGGTTGAGTTCATGAGACGATCATAATAATGTTGTGTTAATAAAAAAGCATAACATTGATAAGGTTCGCCCGATTAGAGATAATAGCTTAATGGAATCTTTGAATTGGCAGCCGAGCAGGGATATTGCATGCAAAAGGTCCTGTGTCGTTTTTATAGATCAAACCGCACAGATTTCTTCTCTTCTTAAGTAAATGTGACTGGTAGACATCCTTTGAGTTAGTTGCTTTAAGAAGCCGTTGACTTAAAGTAAGACAGAAAAATAAACAAAATTATCAAATTAAGTTGCTATCAAATGGCGAGCAGAGACAATCTACATGTAACTTGTTTTAAGATAGTTTGGGCTTAACTAAACTGTTTAAAGTTAGTCAATAATTAACGGCATGTTAAGTGTGTGATAGTTGGCGTCCGAACAACAACTTATTTTAAGAAAAATTGGCCTTAATTTGATAAGACAATTAACCAAATTGTTAAAGTTTCTAAAACACAAAATAAGAACATTTTAATGACTTTACAATATCTATAGAATTCCAAACAAGTCAAATCGGCAGTTAGCATCTGTATGTATCTGTATCTGAGAGTTGCAAGCAAACGTTTATCTTTTCGATTGTTGCGCTGGCCAAACATGTTGCATTCATTCAGATCGAGCACATTCCAAGAATCATATCGTTTAAATGTTGCTGCAGAGAGTATCATTAAATCCGGCAGCGGCAGCAGCAGATGTGCTAGGGGGAGCGGTAGCGGAAGGGCCAACAACTGCATTTAATCACAGGTCTGGCAGCGGCTTTGGCTATATGTTTCAATAAATTCCAGCAAATCAAAACATATATGCAAGTATATGAGACACGGCTGCTACGACTCGAACTTGCACTTGGACTGGGTCTGGGTCTGGATCCGGGCGCAGGAGCGCATGCGTAATGGTCAAATGAATGCGCAAATGGCTCGCGGGCTGAAAATGATGACGGCGACGGGTATCGTTGGCCCGCCGTTCGGTCAGCCTTGCCACAAGCAGCCGCTGCAAGGAGCTAAAAAAAAAAAAAAACCCCAAGCTGAAGACGTTATGGTTCATAAAGCAAAAACGAGCAGCAGACAACAACAGCAACAGCAGCAGAGAGAAGAAGCAGAATGAATAACAGCAGCAGAATAACAGAAGCCAAGCAGAGAGGGGCAAGTCGAGAGCGTTGTTGAAGAAGAAGCAGCAGCAGCAGCAGTAAAGAAGAAGAAGAAGAAGAAAAAAAAAACACGACCAGGCAACAGCCGCCCAAACATTGAACAAAAACATCTGCTGCGACTGCCACAGTTGATGAACTCGATTCGGTTTGGCTCTCTTTCCCTTTTCCTCTCCCTCTCCCTCTTCCGCTCCTGCTCGCACTGCCTCTCTGGCATTCGCTGTCTCGCTCGCACAGCGAGTCTGTTGCGCAGGCGCACAGCAAGTACCCGCGACGCGTGTAACTGCGAGCGAGTACACAACTGGCAGCAGCAACAACTACTGCTACTCCTCCACATACTCTACTCTCTCCAACTCCCCTCCAGTCACCCCTCTTCGCGCTGGCCATTGCCTTAACTCCTCTCCATTCATCTCTTGCACGCTCTGCGCGTCAATGTTTTTTCATTTATAATTCTCATGCCTCGCTGCAATGCCCCCTCGCCCCCTTGCCGTCTTGCCGCTGCCTCTGCCACAGCTATTCCTCCTACTGCACGCTTTCCTCTCTTTCGGCTGGCTCTGTGTCTTTTTTAATTTGGTTCACAAAATACCGCGCGTTGTTGTTGAAATTCTTTAGCAATCGCTTCGTTTCGTCTCAGTTGCCTACACCCCACCCCACCCCACCCCCGTCTCGCGGCCCTCCTTCACCAACACTTAAAGACCGCTGTTCCTTCTGCACCACCGTCTGGCGGTGCTCGTCGCTCGATTTTTGACAGGTGGTGCAGTTTGTATTCAATTTCTTTTGGGCCGTCGCCGGCGACGACTTTTGCTCTTGGGCTCTTGTTGAGTTTTTCTTTATGTTCATATTTATTTATTTTTTTTGTTTTCGGCCTCTCTTCTGCTGCTGCGTTTCGTTTTCTTCTTTTGGTGTGTGTTCAAATTTTTTTCTTCATCTCAATGTATTTTTGCCTATTCATAAAACAGCAAATGAGTTCAGACAGCAGCCGAGCAGACAGCTAACAAAAGATTACCAAATGGCACACACACACACACACGCACGCACACACATACACACACATGCACGAAGGATGCTGAGTTCAGGCTCGGAGCTCAGTTCAATTTTGAATTCAGTTCAATGCACTCTACCAAATTAGTTTTTATATGTATATGCCCTGCTCCTTTCAGTTTGAATAGGGTATGTAGAGATGGCACAAGATTTCGAATATACTTTATTTTTATATTGATTGTTGATTATTATTTTTTTTTTTTTTGACTACCAAAAATGTATAAATAAAAATGTATAAGAGTTCATACAATCAAATTTTGTACATTTAAAATGGCAATAATTATTTCTTTAGATTAGATTATAACTAACTTGTTATATGTATAAAGATATTCTATAAACTAATTTATAGGGTATCCCTAAGTCGCCATAAATAAGTAAATAGCCCAAAACTAATTGGATTCTCTACTCTTTTTTTGCAGTCGTGTGGTTGCCAGGATGCAGAAAACGCGGCATTAGCCACAGCAGCCAACGGAGGAGCTAAAACGCAGGACACGCAGTAGCAGGAGGAGCAGGCCCAGCAGAAGCCAAGACGCGAGAGCAATCCGAGAGAGAGAGAGAGAGAGAAGGAGTGAGAGAGAGAGAGGAAGAGCAGCAGAGGTTTTTGTTAACCATGTCACAGCAAGTGTACTCGGCGCATCCAGCGCTGGCCGCTGAGCAGCTGGCAGCGCCGAGCAGCTCCACAAACGCCACAAGTGGCACCATCAGCGGCAGCAGGCGGAAGGTCACGCCCAAAAAGTACACACTAAGCAGAAGCTGTGCGGCGCTAGCAGCTGCAGCAGCGGCAGCCAAAGCAGCAGCAGTCGCAGCAGCAGAGGCTGAGGCAACAACAGCAACGCCAACAACAACAACAGCAACAACATCAAGGACAGCTAGCGGCAGCGAATCGTGCCACACGCGCAAAACGCAGCCGACGCGAACAAATTTGGCGGCGGTGGACGATGATGATGACATCGAGTGCGAGGATGTGGACGATGTCAACTTTGGCGTGCAGCAGCAGCAGCAGCAGCCGATTGTGAGGCAAACAACAACAACAACAACAACCAAAGACAATGGCTACGATGAGACGGACCATGTGCAGTTGCGCCACAAGCGCCACAGCCGACAAATGCCACACAAACAGCTGGACCGAGGGGGAGGTGGCGGCGGCGGCGGCGGACTGATGGCCGCCTCAGCGACAGCTCTGACTGGTTCCATTAGCGATCTGAGCAGCATACTAAGCTCGCCCTCGGCCAGCACTGTCTCCTCGGCGCAGTCGACGCCCACGCGAACGGCGCCGTTGCAGCTGCAGCTCCAGCTGCAGCACAGCCATCAGCATTGCTGCCACAAGCAGTCGAAGCAGTCGGCGGCAGCAGCAGCAGCAACAGACGGAGCCACACACCAGCCACATCAGCAGTCGAGTCGCCACCAGCCGAAGCATCAACAGCAGCATCATCATCATCACCATCATCATCATGCTGCGGCCGCTGCTGCAGCGGGCTGTGGCGCCACCGCCAACGCCGCCAGCTCCTTCAAGAGCAAGAAACTTGATCCGCGCTTCAGCCCGTCACCGTATCGCCAGCTATTGCCCATTTTCCTGTGCCTGCTCTCGTTTGCGCTGGTCTTTGCCACGTTAATTGTTTACATGGACACAACAGGTGAGAAGTCCAAGTAGCGCACCCGTGCAACTTGAATATACACTAACCTTTTTTGGGCATTATATATATATCTATGAACAAGTGCAGCAATTAATTGCCATTCTTGTTGAGCATGATAAAAGTCGGGCTTACCTTTGATTATATAGATGCTGCTTGAAAAATCTACCTGTTGCTATAGTTTACATAGCTGCCAGTAAAGATAAATCTGTTATCACAGCAATCTGTCTAAAATAGAGCTTTTGTAGAAAAAGCTGAAGATTTTATACTCAACTCCCAATATATATATACATACATATCGTATATAGCTGAACTCCTTCTGCCAACTTTGTTAGGGTATTTGATCTTCACTCTCTTGTCCCATATATATACATATTTTAATATAAATTTGATATCTTTGGCATATGTCTCATCTGTTTATCTTTTTTTTTTTTAATTTTTTTCTGTGCGCGCGTTTCTTCATTTAAATTTTTTCATATACGTTTTCATTCTTTTTGGGTAAATGTGTGCTTCCACCGGATGTAGGCTGTGTTTGCCTTTGGCTGCCTGCTGTCCTTTCCTGGGCACACTTTTCAGATTAGTTTACGCATCCTTCTAACTAGCCGGGCATCGCGTTCTTGTTGTCTGCGGCCTGACATGCTTAGTTTGTGCTTAGCGCATCTTTTGTCATAGATCTTGTTCCCTTTTTGGGTACCTCTGTATTTTTTTCTCCCTCTCTCCCTCTCTTTATTTCTTTGGCTTGGCGCACTGGCGCTTCCTGTCAACATCAACCAAACAAACAACCAAACAGCAACAACAAAAACAAAGTTGTCCGATGACGTCTCACTTGGCAACAGCCGTGGCGCAGCTGCTGTCATAACGTCATCATCGACGGCGGCGACACGTGCCGCCTACAAAGGTTGCCGCGCTGCAACGCCAAAAGAATTTCTAATTTGCCATTTGATGAATGGCTCAAACGGCAATTGCCAGCATGGGCACTGCAACGGGGCCTAAATTGTGGCTGAACTGTTGCAAGTAAGTGGGCGGCATGCGAGACTTTTAGATACCCCTTACGAAGATACCTCACCACCTACTTTACTTTGTCCTAATCTGTTAATATTGCTTTTTTGCATACGAGAAATAAAATTAGACTAAAAATGATTAAATGAAAGCAATAAATACGGATAATTGCTGCTCGATTTGAACCAGCGACTTTTCTTTAGTATACATATACGAAACTAAACTAAATATACAAACAAATTGAATAAAATTAATAATATAAAAACTGCAAATTACCATTCAATTTGAGATTAAAAAGAAAGGTCGCTGCTTCAAATTGTGCACAAAAGAAAGGTAGCTGGTTCGAATTGTATAAAAAAGAAAAATTGCTGGTTTGTAAATTGTATGTAAGTATAGGATATATAAAGTATAAAGTCTCAAATAAAATAGTATATATATCTTAAAACACAGGGAATATTGAACGTAATTCTAAAACAATTTCTCTGCATCACCTGCAAAAACTATTAATAGCTTATCAGAAACTTTTCAAATAGTCATAAATAGTTTGGTTAATTATAGTAAATTTGCAAGCAGCCTTTTGGAATGCTAAAGTTAATTGCAATTTTCTAAGCATTCTTGATTCATGGATATGAATCATAAGTCCTCTTAAAGCCACAATCTCAGAGTTTGCATCAAGTAAAACTTAGAAATTTAGTATACGATCTCGTATATGCCAGAATGCTCCAGAATTCCTACAGCAAAAAAAAATGTAGATGTTTCATTAAAATGCAAAATGATCCACGATAACTAAACTAAAAGCAAGAGGTAATAAATATGCAAATTGTACAATTAGTTGATAAATACTCTTATAAAGGAATCATGGCATAATATGCCATGTGATAAGTCAAAAGAAATGCACTTGCTTGATTTAAGAAACCTTGTCTTAATTGATACTTAGCTACAGCCCCCACCTCTCCCCTTCCGCTGCCCCCACACACACACTAGTTAGTTAGGTTTTAGTCAAGTGTGACTCATATTTGGCTGATTTGCCTTGTAAATGTATTTAGCTTAGCTCTCCATAGTTACATCTATCCAAATTATTTAGCCAGACAGAGGCTGTCGGATGAGGCAATTTTCTTTTAATTCGCTAAAATATTTTGTTATTGCGCGACGTCGCCGATTCCAATGTGGAAACATATATAGTACGTCGCTATACTATTTTTTTTTTGCTCGTGTCTCTAGTACAGGGTAAAATAAATTTGCTTAATTTGTGCCGTTTCTCAATGAAAGCGGACAAGGAAAATTGTTTTGCATATGATGAAGAGCCAGCCGCCGAGGCCTCTCGTGCCGGAGTGCCCGATGGATCACCATTGCGTGATTCATATACCCAAAGTGACTCTTACTCTGTACTCCAGAGAGACCCAAAATATCAATGACAGTCCATTGTGCTTGTGCAGCTGTTAAACAGCTTCAGCCTGATTGCACAGTGACTCAAAATACGTGTGAAAGAGTTGAACAAATTAATCAATGCATCTAAATTTGTTGCTATTTACACTCGACTCAAGAATGACAAAGATTGTTTGGGAATTTTCAATGATTCAATGATATATTATTTGTATTCTATTTTGGATTTGAAATGGTAAAAAAATTGGAATTTTGTCACTGTATTCTTTAAAGAGAACATCAAGAGGAGGGAAGCACAGTAAAAGTGTTTAAGTTACTGATCAAATATTATATTATTAAATCGATAACGGATTTTCTGCTGTAACTGAGTTATCGATCAGCTACGCATGGATATAAAATATTAAAAAAAAAACGTATAAAAAATGTATCCAATATTTTAAGCTACTTCAAGGTGCTGCATCTGACTTATCAACTTTATCAACTCAGTTTATTCATTTTTGTTTTGTTTTATCGAACATCCATCTCTCGCCTGAGTTATCGTTTATCGATTAACGTTTATCGATGCTTCTTTTGCTTGGCTTATTGAACATCGCGCACCACTGTGCGTTGCCCGGCCAAGAAGTGAATTGTAAATTCCGCTCAAGTACAAGTAATTTTCGCAGCTCGTTGTCGCTTCGGGCTTCCTTTTGCTGGTATCGATTGCTTTGCGCCTTTTAGCGCCTTTGTCTTAAGAATTAAAATATATGCAAATTGTTCAGCGAATTAAAAGTCGATAAAGACGCTGCCAAATTGCCTTAAACAGACTGTCAATCAGACATTCAGTCTTTCAGTCAGTCAGTCAGCTGTTTGCCACCCAATTCTCAGTGCTGTTGGCTGCTGTTTTGGTTGCTTTCTTTTCTTCTTCTTTTTTTTTGACTGTGCCGCCACATCGACTAGACGGGGCTTGGCTCCGTTGCGCTGCTGCTGCTGCTGGGCGTGGCAGCTGCCACTTGGCCAGAAGAGCTTGACAGCTTGACTCGACTGCCTGGCTGGCTGGCTGGCTGGCAGCTCTAGTTTTATGGCCCCATTGATGGCTCTATTAGGTTTATACGAGCCATACGGATTCATAAGCCATAATAATACAAATATGAGCATGCTGTGCATAAATTACCCCTCGAGCCGCTAAGCTGCATATAAATTTGAACACGTTTCGCCGTGTGGCACAAAAACTAGACAGTAAAAAAACTTCGAATCATACAAACCACAAAAAAACAAAAAAAAAAAAAAACGAGAAAAAAAGTCTCAAAGAATGTGAACCCAAATGCGCTTATTAAAGTGACAAATTCTTGCGGCTTTGCGTTGAGCTCTTTTAGACAGACTCTGCTTCAGTTTTTACTCAACCTCGACCATGACTTTACAGAATTAAAAATTCCAAACTAACCTTTGGTTATTTTTCTTCTTGACTTTTTTTTTGGTGCTTGCCCACGATCTTCTTGTTGTTACAACATTTCTCTGTCTATCGCGAACGTCCTCGGCCTCGGCCTCTTTTTATGGGGCCGCGCACACAATCCCCGAGCTCGCTGTAAATGTCACGTTTCATCCAGATGATAATTATAATTATAATTATAATGATGATCGTATGATGAGTGTCGGTACGGTTCAATGAAAACTTATAGAACTCTTTATTCTATTCCGATTTCTCAATCGTCTCTTATCGTATCTTATCTGCGTCATTCACATCCATTGACAATCTTATTTTATGCCATTGTTGCAAAGCTACTTGCGACTAATTCGACTGGGAACAAAGAGTTTTCTTAGTCATCATTGTTGACATCGGCAGCATGACTTACTTACTTAATCCAACACTTTGCAATTTTTATTATGATGAAATGTTTTTGCACCGATTACAATGCTTATCAATAAATTGAAATGTTTGCAGAACTGCAAGAAACCTTTCTTACAAAGTGTGCGCCATGCCTATCACAAGACTGTGAATCGATGTCCTCTGTACTAAATATTCTCTCTCTTCTATTTCTCTACTCTCTTTTCTCGCTTGCTATCTCTTTCTCTCTGTTTCCGCTCTTGCACTCTCTCTCTTTCTCTCTCTCTCTCGCTCTCTCAATCTTCTCACATTCTTTCACGTTCTCCTTACGCTCCCACTCTTCTCTTCTCAGTCTCTGTTCTCTCTCACTCTCATTCTCCCTCTCCCTTTCCCCCGTGTCCCGTTTCACTCACCTTTTCTCCACATACATATCGCCTACTTATTGTCAACGTGGCGCGCCTTTTTGCAAACTGTCTGCTGGCACACGCCCACTCAAAGATGGGCGTGTCAGTGTCAGTGTAGGCGTGGCGCCAACGTTGCCACATTTCACACATTTGTTGACATCGCGTGGCGCATCTGCACGATTCTTGACGTTGCACTCGTCTGGCAAATGTCATTAGCCCCCCCCTGCTTGCACCTGCCGCAAACAGGCGGTGAGCGGCGCATAAATCGCATTAGCCCAAATCTTGAAACGTTGCCACATTTGGCAACGTAAACACGTTGACGGCTGCCGTTTCATTTATTTATATTTCGCTTGCTTTTAGGGCCAAGAGCGATGTCCACAAGGGGGGGGGGGGGCGGGGTTGAGGTGGGTAGAGGC